TAAAACAACTGACTATAAGTCGGAATCATACTAGTGTCACATTGACGATACCACGTTAAAAAACTTGATGTTCTTTCTCTTGTTTTAGATTCTTTGACATGGTATCAAAGCACGCGATCTGAGATTTCTTAATCGTATTTCATTGGTAATTGTCTGGTACTCATCAGGTTCTGCTGTCTAGGGTTTCTTTGGTCTTCTTCTTGGTGTTTTGTGCGTTCAGCTCGCCGCTCCGAGTGGTTCTCCTTCATCAGGCTGTCTCTCTGCTTGGCTTTTTGTTCGTCTCTTACTTTGATCTGGTTGGTTCCTCACTCGTCGTTTCCCCTTTGTAGTTCTTTGCTTCGTTCATCGTAGCTCAATGGAGGGTTTCACGACCAAGTTTGACGGAAAAAATTTCCCGCTGGGGGAATTTCAATTCCGTAATTTCGTGGAAGGGAAACATTTGCTTCTCATCTTGACATGACAGGGCAGTCGCCTCGTCCCGCTGCTGATTCCGTCGAGAAGGACGTCGTCGACTGGGCTGCTGGTAACACCCAGGTCGTGACATGGCTCTTGTCGTCGGTGGATACGGCTACAACTTTGAGTTCGCCGGTTAGCTGATGCTAGTGACATGTGGAAACACATATGCTCGACTTATACTCAGAATGTTGCAGCTTGCCAGTTCGAGCTTGAGACTCAGATTGCGGCATTCAAACAGGGTGATGGATGTTCGTACGTATTATCAGGCTATTTCTACCATCTGGACTGAGTATGATCTTCTCGCTGCGTCCCTTATTTTGACGGCAGGCTCTGCTGAACTGTTGAAGGAACAATCTCGTTCTCGCCTCATGCAATTTCTCATGAAGCTTCGTTTGGATTTTGAGACCATCAGGGCGTCTCTGCTACATCATCAGGTTGCTACTATAGATGAAGCCCTCGCCGAACTCATTCTTGAGGACACTCGTTTGCGCAGTCAGCAGCAGCTTGATCAACATATGTCCTTCCCCAAGGCGGCGTTCGTTGTTGGGTGTGGTGGTTCCAGTAAACTTCACTTTCAGCGAGGTGATACCAGCCATCTTACCTGTCATTATTGCAATGAACTTGGACACATTCAACGACATTGCAAGAAGCGCAATATTTGCATCTACTGCAAGCGCTCCGGTAATATAATCTTGGAGTGCAAATCTTTGGCTCGTCGCCTACGTGAAGGACCTTCTTCCTCTGCTGGTTCGCGTCCTAGCTCGACGGTGGCCCGTAGCGGTGATTCAAGTTATGCTATTGAGGCCGCTACTCCTCATCCCGCCACACCTCCTGTTGGTTCGAGCGTCTCCTCTTCCTCCATCCTGACAGATGACGTTGTTCATCGTTTGGTTGTTGAGGTTCTTCAGGAGACTCTCCTTGTTGCTTTGAATTCTGCCTTCGCGAATGGTGGCGCATCAGGTACTTCCCGCTGGTTACTTGACTCTTCTGCTTTTAATGACATGACTAATGCCCGTTCCCATTTTACTACTTTGCGTCCATCCTCTATTCACTCGCTGCAAGTAGCTAATAGTACTGCTCACATTCCTGTTCATGGTATTGGGACGACCACTACTGATCGTGCGAACCTTGCTAATACGTTGTATGCTCCCAAGCTCGTTCCTTACCTGGTCTCGCTTGGAAAACTGACAGAAGATGGTTGTGAGGTTCGGTTTGATCGAACTGGGTGTGTTGTGCAGGATCCGATAACAAGGAATGTGATCGGGAAGGGTAGGAAGGATTTGTCAAGAACCAGTTGCTCCCAATAACTCGAGTTGTTGGGAGATGTTCAATCATGGATCATATACCACACAGTACACACTAACACGCCCCCTCAAACGAAAGCGGCTCACAAGGGCTTGAAGTTTGCACAGGTCTTAATACCATGTGCTATAACAAATGGGGGCTACCGGGAATCGAACACAAGACCTCTCTGTCACAGAAGGCTCTGATACCATGTCAAGAACCAGTTGCTCCCAATAACTCGAGTTGTTGGGAGAGGTTCAATCGTGGATCATATACCACACAATACACACTAACAGGATGGTTGTGCCTTTATTCTTCATGAACATGGTGTCTTGGAGCCGGACTCGAAGAACCCATTGGATTCAAGACTAGGGGCGCACATGGCTAATACTGGCATAGGGGCGCCTAGTAGTTGTGCGTCGGATTTGTTTTCTAGTGTTTTAGACTCCTCTGCAGTTTCGAAGAATAATTCGGTTTTGCTGTACAGCCTAAGTGTTGTTTGGATTCTACCAAACAGAATTCGTTGTGGAATTTATGGCATTGTCGCCTTGGGCATCCCCTCAAGGATCGACTATTTGATATGTCAGTTTCGGCGTGGTTTCATTCCATATCGTTTGCCTTCGCAATTTGATCCATCTGATACTTGTGTTAGTTGTATTGAGGATAGGGCGTCTCAATCACCCTTCTCCTTCAGTGATACAGTTTATTCTGACCCATTTGAGTTGGTGCACACGGATCTTTGGGGGTCGTCTCATGTTCTCTCTCGCATGGGTTTCCGCTATTTTGCGCTCTTTATTCATCATGCAACTCGGTTTGCATGAATTTATTTTCTTCGGCGAAAATCCGAGCTCATCACTCACGCCCAATACTTTGTGAAAATGGTTCAAACCCAGTTCAGGAAGACAATCAAAGCCATTCGATCAGATCCCGGGGGCGAGTTCAGTTTTATCCCCATACTGAGTCATTATCGTTATGCTCAAGGGAACATCAAATGGGAATCGTCCATGAAGGAGGAGTTACGTGCGTTAGAAGAAAATAACACGTGGAATTAATTCCACGACCAGCTGGCATTCAGTGATTGGTTGTCGGTGGGTATACATCGTCAAAATGAAACAGGATGGCACGCCGGATAGACACAAGGAGCGACTTCTGGCCTAGGGATTTAGACAGGAATATGGAATAGACTATGAAGAGACATTTGCTCCAGTGGTGAAGATGCAGATAGTTTGCAGTGTGTTGGCAGTAGCAGCCATGAAGCAGTCGAAGATTGTTTAGTTTGATGTGAAGAATGAATTCCTTCACGGAGACAATTTACATGGAGTGTCGAGAGGGTTATATAAAGGGAGGACCAGGGATGGTTTGTAGACCCCGACGTTCTCTCTATGATCTTAAACAGACACCGAGGGCCTAGTTTGAGAAATTCCTTAGCAGTATCATTCAGGTAGGTTTTGTACTGAGTCAGAATAATCCATCGATGTTCACTCGACAGACTGCGCAAGGCAACACGGTTATGCTTTTATATGTTGACGATATGATTGTGATAGGGAGTGATATATAGGGGATTAAGGAGCTTTCACAGTCACTGCACACAGCCTTCAATCTCAAAGAACTGGGTGATGCATCTTACTTTCTGGGTCTAGAGATACATAGAAGTGAGGCCAGTTTGCTTGTTAATCAATAGAAATATATTAGTGACTTATTGGGGGCAGCACAATTCGCAGATTGCAAGCCATGCTCTACTACAATGGAGCAAAATTTGAAGCTCAGTCGTGGGGACGGAGTTTTGTTAGAAGATCAAACGTTCTACAGAAGCATTATGGGAAGTTTGATCTATTTAACATATACACGCCCTGACATAGCCTACGTAGTTCAAGTGGTAAGCCAGTTTATGGGGGTTGCGCGCACAACTCACCTGAATGTCATTCATAGACTACTGAGATACCTAAAGGGGACTAGAGATGTTGGAATATTCTTTCCTGCAGATGGAGAACCGGTCATTGAAGCATTTGATATGCAAATTATGCTGGATGTCTAGATACGAGAAGGTCCACATCAGAGTGGTGCGTTAAGATTGGGCGGTCCTTTATGTCCTGGCGTTGTCGAAAACAATATAAATTATCGAAGTCTTCCACAGAAGCAGAGTATAGATCGATGTCATAGGTTAGTTCGGAGATGGATTGGTTGCAGAGGTTGTTTAAGGAAATTGAAGTAGAATGTCAGATACCTATGCGTATCTATGGAGATAACACGAGTGCTATCCAGATTGCAAATAACCTGGTACTACACGACAGGACAAAACACATTGAGGTACACATTCACTACATCAGGCAACTTGTGGCGGAAGGAGTTATTCAGCTCAGCTACTTGTCTACAGAAGATCAGACTGCAGATGTCTTGACGAAGGGAGTCAGTTCAAGCAGACATTGGTACCTATCTTTTAAATTGATGTTGCGTACCCAACATCAATTTGAGGGAGGGTGTTTGTTTGTGGAAGTACATGTACCAATGTGTAATTAACCATTAAACCGTGTAGCTAGGGTTTGGAGAAAACCTATATATTTACTTGTGTATCATAGTTGAAAGGTAACGAATAATAATACAAAAAATCCGAGAGAGAGAGATCCTCTCCGGGGACTAGTGTCACATTGACGATACCACGTTAAAAACTCGGTGTTCTTTCTCTTGTTTTAGATTCTTTGACAGCGGCCTCGTAGATTGTATTGCAGGAGATCTGTAGATAGTGTGGTTTGGTTTGATGAGGAAAGATCCAAAAGTGGAAGGGAAAGGGTTCGTCACAAAAATGCCTGTTAAGCTCCCACCAATCACGCTCCAAATTATTCTTCATGCATTTATATATTAATTCAAATTTTTCCATGTAGCTACTTCCTAAAACGCTCTTCGTGTGCTACTGGCCGCACGATGAAGAAGAGAAACGGACGGATATGAAAGGGGAAGCCAAATTGATAACCCTAAGGGGGTTTTGTCAAGCTATCCCGTCCCCTATTGAAATGTCTAAAACAAAACAATCCCCGAAGGAGGAAGAAGTGTTTGAGCAGCAGCAATGCAGGATCTTCTTTCAACTACACAATAATAATAATAATAATAATAATAATAATAATAATAATAATAATTTGCATATAATAAATGAGAGTTCCAACTTCCATACCATAACAAACAGCCTTCCCTTCCCTGCAGACTGGAAAACCAAACAGAGAGCGCAGAAAATTAAGCTAGCCAGCTGACGGTACTAACAAAGTCACCAACTTAGTTAACGAAGATTGCTTTCCTAACTTTCCTTTGTTTCCTTCCTTGTGATGGCTTATTTGAATATAATATCCAATTGCTGCCAGGCCAGCTGCATTGGCAAATCCGCATGCAGCATAGCTTCATACCTCAGGCCGGCCGGCATTCACCATCTTAATTTGTTTGCACTATTTGGTGAATCATGTTTCCCAACTTCATCTACTTCCCGTTAATTAGTAGATTAAAGAAAGTTTCTCCAACAATGCACGGCTTCAATAAAGTAACACGAGAGCTAATTAGACAATGAGCTCTTTAACGTGAACCAAAGTGAAGAACATCGCTGGGTTTAGCAACAAAAAAAAAATGGAGGCCGCCACCTCCGGCAACTTGGTAACAGGGTCTCACCACAAGAACGAGCTGATATTGATCAGGACTGAACTTCCTGCTTCTGTAATCGTCCCTCTCCTATTATATATTGTGTTCATCTGCAATATTACTCTGGTCTGTAACCGGCTCACAATTATATGTAATGTAAGCAGGCAAAAGATGAGTGGGAGGAGTCGTGCAGTGGGCAGAGTTGCAGGATTTGCGGCGACGAGATAGGTCTGAATGCCGACGGTGAACTGTTTATAGGCTGCAATGAGTGTGCATTTCCCATATGCAGAACTTGCTACGATTACGAGCGCATAGAAGGGACTCAAATCTGCCCAAGATGCAAGACCAGGTTCAGCCGTCTTAAAGGTGACTAATAAGGCACCGATGGCGACATGATTCTACTCCCCAATGATTCAGAGTTATTGCGATAAACTGGTTACGTAACTCCGAATTTCTACAGGGTGTTCCAGAGTGCGCGGAGATGAGGAAGAAGATGATGCAGAGGACGTGGAAGAAGAGTTTAACTTTGGTCAAGAAAACCATGGAGGAAGAGGAGAAAGAGAGGCTGGGATGTTGCAGGATGAGGATGCTCACAATCACTTCGCCTTGGATTTGGCTTACCCTGGTGCTCTTAGTCCTCCACCTCAATTCCCACTCCTCACCGATGGTCGAATGGTACCAAACCATATGATCGAATTTTCGGTCACAAACAATGCTCATGTTCTTCTCCAAACTTTCCCCTTTGCTCAGCCGATCAATCTCGCGTTCGCCCTATATGTTGCAGGCCACTGAAGATCATATGGCTGTCACTCCTTGTAACGCCCACCAACATGCTTTGGTCGTCCCACTGTTTGTGGGTGCTAGTAGCCCTGACTTTAGAAGGCATGAGCAATCCTCCTTTCCAAATAGTCCGTTTCCTCCAGGTAATCTATCAATTGGGTAATTGGTCATTCATTTGATCGATTTTGTTCAAAGTTCATCGCTTTCTTCATTTTATGCATATCAATAGGCCAACCCAGATCCATGGATCCCTCCAAGGACTTGACGGCGTATGGCTATGGAACCGTCGCTTGGAAGGAGAGGATGGAGATGTGGAGGCAACAAAAGGAAGCCAAGCTGCAGCTGATGAACAAGGAAGACCATGATGACAATGACCCGATTGCCTGGAATGCTGAAAATGATGACCATGAACCTGCGCTGCCGCTGTAAGCACCCTCTAATTAATTTGAACCGTGTAACAGATAAAATTAAATAAGCTAAACTGTAATGTTCTAATCACTGTCAATTGGTTCTGTTTCAGGATGGATGAAGGAAGACAACCACTATCACGAAAACTGCCCATCCCTTCGAGCCAAATCAATCCTTACAGACTAATCATCCTAATCCGACTCGTGGTTCTAGGATTCTTCTTCCACTACAGAGTCTCCCACCCTGTGACCAACGCTTACGGACTGTGGCTAGTTTCGGTAATCTGCGAAATCTGGTTCGGCATTTCATGGGTACTTGATCAGTTCCCCAAGTGGTTCCCCATAGAGAGAGAAACGTACCTGGACAGACTATCACTGAGGTACGAGAAAGAAGGGCAGCCATCCCAACTTTCTCCGGTGGACGTATTCGTGAGCACGGTGGATCCACTGAAAGAGCCGCCTCTGGTCACAGCAAACACCGTTCTCTCGATTCTAGCCGTTGACTACCCAGTCGACAAAGTGTCGTGTTATGTCTCCGACGATGGCGCTGCCATGCTAACGTTCGAAGCGCTGTCTGAAACGTCCGAGTTTGCCAAGAAATGGGTGCCTTTTGTTAAGAAGTACAACATTGAGCCCAGGGCGCCAGAGTGGTACTTTGCTCAGAAAATTGATTACCTCAAAGATAAGGTGCATACTTCCTTTGTCAGGGACCGAAGAGCCATGAAGGTATAGGGAAATTTCGTTTTTTTATTTTGACTCTGGCTTTCCCTATAATGTTTATTTTTTTTTTTTTTTTGCATTGACATTTTCCTCACTTGCTGTGTATTACTTCTGTACTACAGAGAGAATATGAAGAGTTCAAAGTGAGGATTAATGTGTTGGTTGCCACTGCTCTAAAGGCACCAGAGGAAGGATGGATAATGCAGGATGGAACTCCATGGCCTGGGAATTCTATTCGCGATCATCCCGGAATGATCCAGGCATGTTTATACTCACTAGCTCCTCAACCCAAACCATCTCCCACCTCTATTAAATGATGGTGTCAATGTACAACTTCTGTTACAGGTTTTCCTTGGACAAAGTGGAGGAGATGACGAGGATGGAAACAAGTTGCCGCGTCTGATCTACGTTTCGAGAGAGAAAAGACCAGGCTTCAATCACCACAAGAAGGCTGGGGCAATGAATGCTCTAGTAAGAGTTTCTGCCGTAATATCAAACGCACCATACGTGCTCAACTTGGACTGTGATCACTACTTCAACAACAGCAAGGCTCTGAGAGAAGCAATGTGCTTCCTCATGGATCCCATGCAAGGAAAGAGAGTATGCTTCGTACAGTTCCCTCAAAGGTTTGATGGTATCGACAGAAACGATAGATATGCCAATCGAAACACCGTGTTCTTCGATGTAAGCAACAACTGTTTAACCATGGAGAATCCTCTCATCATTTTTCCCCCTCTTATATTCAGATGGAGTGATATCATTTGGGTTTTTGGACAGATAAACATGAAGGGCCTAGATGGAATTCAGGGGCCTATATACGTTGGAACAGGATGTGTGTTCAGGAGGAGAGCACTCTATGGCTACGATGCTCCCACGAAGAAGAGACGAGGCGGCAGAACTTGCAACTGCATGTTCAGCAAATGGGATTGTGCTTCTTTCTGTTTTGGAAACAAGAAGACGAACAGGAAGAAGAAGAAGGTCCAGAAACCAAAGCTTGAGATGATGATGCAAGCTAGCGAGTCTCGAGCTGATCTCGAGGCCACCGGACATCTGCCTACTGGTAACAATAAGGAAACCCCAACCGAGAAACCTCACCTGAAGTTGCAGAAAAAGTTCGGACAATCTCCGGTGTTCGTGGGGTCGACCCTTTTGGAGGAAGGTGGCACCGTGCAAACTTCCGGCCCGGCGTCTCTGCTCCAAGAGGCCATTCATGTCATTAGCTGTGGCTACGAGGAGAAGACAGATTGGGGGAAAGAGGTTGGCTGGATATATGGGTCGATTACAGAGGACATATTGACTGGGTTCAAGATGCACTGCCATGGATGGAGATCAATCTACTGCATTCCTGAGAGGCCTGCTTTCAAGGGTTCGGCTCCCATTAATCTCTCCGACCGTCTTCATCAAGTCCTCCGATGGGCGCTTGGCTCGATCGAGATCTTCCTCAGCAGGCATTGTCCTCTGTGGTATGGCTATGGAGGTCGGCTCAAATTGTTGGAGCGTTTGTCCTACATCAATGCCACCATTTATCCACTGACCTCGATTCCCTTGATGGCGTACTGCACTCTCCCGGCGGTTTGCTTCCTCACCGGGAAATTCATCATCCCGGAGGTACAACCAATCGAAAGATCCTAAAAAAAGCCAAATAATCCGACCATCGAAACCCTAACAATTGGGGATTTTTATTTTTTTTGTGCAGCTGAACAATGCAGCCAACTTATGGTTTCTATCACTGTTCATCTGCATCTTCGGCACGAGTCTTCTGGAAATGCGGTGGAGCGGGGTCGGGATCGACGAGTGGTGGAGGAACGAGCAGTTTTGGGTGATCGGAGGAGTGTCGGCGCATTTGTTCGCGGTGTTTCAGGGGCTTCTGAAGGTGATCGGAGGAGTGGACACGAATTTCACGGTGACGTCAAAGGCGGGAGGGGTCTGCAACGGTGGGGATGAGTACGAAGGGATCTCGTCGGAGCTCCATGCGTTCCGGTGGACGACGCTCCTCATCCCGCCGACGACGCTCTTGATCGTCAACTTGTTCGGGATAGTTGCGGGGATTGCGAGCTTCTTGAACGACGGGAAGGAGTCGTGGGGGATCTTGTGCGGGAAGCTCTTCTTTGCGTTTTGGGTGATGATTCATCTGTACCCTTTCCTCAAGGGGCTTTTGGGCCGGCAGAATCGGACTCCTACGATCATCATCCTCTGGTCCATTTTTCTGGCTTCGGTTTTCTCGATTTTGTGGGTTAGGATTGATCCCTTCGAGCCCAAGGCCAATGGGCTGGTTCTTGAAGAATGTGGGCTGGATTGCGAATAAAACAACAACAACAACAACAAGAGATCTGGATTGTAATTTATTTTTCCTTTTTAGAAACGAGAGGCAATAGGTTGTTAGTAAAAGGCTAAAAGCGAGAAGAAAAGGCTGATAAATAAGATACTGCAAACATTTTTAATTTTCACACTAGATTAGGGTCCGTCTGTTGGCCGGATGAATTTCGTTAATAGTATAAATAACCTTAGTAATTGTTTGAAGCTAGACATGTTATATTTCATATATAAAATTTTCAAATAATTTAGTTACTGGAAATATCATACTCATATAATTCCAACATGCTAACCCGATTTATCGACTGAAGCCCTTACTCAAAGCGAAAAACAAAAGTCATGCAAGAAAATTGACTTCTAAAAATTTAATAAGATGGTCACATTATTTGCTACTCAATGTCAATAATTACAGAAAATTTGAATTTTTTCTCATCGTTCTACCTCAGCCTTCTAAAGCACCATCATCTTCTCCAATTACCAATGCATTTGTCTTTCTTAAAGTAACTTTTTCCTTTATAATAGGCTATTCCTACTTATTTTTCATCAAAAACCAATCTTTAATGGTAAAATGTTTAGAAACACTGGACATTACACACAATTAAAGTTTACGACCTTTTTACTCCTAAATTTAGAAAAAAATTGAATTGTTATGTTGGGATCTTGGGTCGAGATAGGAAATACTTTAGTAGGTAAATTAACGTCTCATTCATGAGATTTATTTTTTCCTAACACTGATAGACAACCCTGCGACCAACACAAAAATTGATAATCTGTAAATTGAAAAATTAATGAATAACTAGTAGTCGTTGCCTATTCTCCAGTAGATAATTTTTTTTCCTTGTATATGTACATATTTGGTTGCTCGATTTGTAAAATGGCTAACGAAAGTTTAGTGATTGACAATGAGAATAATTAAACCTGTCACGAATGCCATTTTTTATCTATGGTGGTTAATTTTTAATCTATACATCATGAATAAGTTGGAAGTAGCATGAACATTCTAAGTTGACTTTAAAAAGATCGAGAGATTAGTTGAAATCAAGTCAGCAATGTGAGGCCCACTTTCATAATAATCTAATGAAGAATTGATGGTGGCGGTACGATAATGAATTGTTGTAGAGATGGGGTACCATTGTAGAAGAATTGATAGTTCATGAATGCTATTATATATGATGCTATAGAATGATGGACTGACATGTTTTATTTCAAAATATGTCAAATTATGAATATAATTTTATATATTACATTAAATTGAATTTTAGTTGAAAATTTTAATTTAAATTATAAAGTGAAATATCATTAATTAAAAACTCATAAAGGATAAGTTATGCACCTTTTCTTTACGGTAACACCGGTATAAGTTATGCACCTTGAGTTATATACCTAATATGTTAATAAACTAACAATACTATAAATCATCTTTTCTTATGGAAATATCATTGATTTTATTCTCACGGAAATATATATTCCTAATTCCTAAGTGTATAATATAAACATTGATTTTATTCATTATCCCAAGTTATGTACGAAACAAAAAAAATTTGAGGAACCTTTTCTTACGGAAGAATTGGAATGGATAGAAAAAATAGGTAACTTGGGTCTTTTAGATTCATTAAAATTTATTAAAGTTAGTTAATTAATAATAATGTGCTCGGTAGTTCTTTTTAATAATTTAAGTGATAAAAATATTCCTCCTAAAATTACTCATATCGCTGGAAATTTTGAATATAGTGTGTTCTGATGGAGAATCTCCATAAATAAGTGGTAGGATTTAGTGTTAGTTAGGAAGAGGATTAATTCCCTCCATATTCATAATTCATACCATCTTTTTTCGTTAATTATATTCAGATCATCTTCATCCCAACTTTTTGTTAGTAACTTCGGTGAACAATTTCAAATAATTGTTGTGAAGGCAAGAAAAATCATTTATAGACTTGGTTTACTATGCATAATTCAATATTATGAAGATCTTTATAACCCAATTTTTAGTCATTAGTTTGGGAATGATAGAGTTGGTATCTATAAGATAAGGAGGGAAATGAAATGACAGATTCGTTGAACAACCTAATCTTTTTTGAGGCCGGAACAATTTTTTTTTTCCGGTAATTATCAAAAAATTTATTAAGCTCTGCCTGATAAACAGGGCCCTCAAAAAACAAAGAGATGTGCTCTACTATTCTGCTTACAAAACAAACAGATAACTCTCAAAAACATCCTATTCTGCATATAATAGGCTACTCAAGTGGGAAATTTTCTTAACTTCAAATCGAAAATCTGGCTTCCCCATGACAAATAGGTTGAAGTCAACAATCCATTTTCTTATAGTCTCTGCTACTGGCCGCTGCTCTCCCCTATACATCCGAGCGCATCTCTCCTTCCATACAACACTGACACACCAGCACCAGATCGCACTCCAAATCAAACCTTTGCTGCCTTCCTTATTGCTTCTTCGTCGTATCCAGTTCATGAGGCCATCCCAATCATTTGGCCACCAGCGCGAGCCAAAAACTGCTGCAAAGAATTCCAAAGCATAAGAACAAGTGCAGAAAATGTGATCACGAGTTTCATCCTCTGCCTTGCATAAAACACACAAAGAGTCAGAGATTTTCCCCCATTGCTTAAGCTTGTCTCTCGTGGTGATCCTGTTCATTGTGATTAACCAAGCAACAACTCTGTTTCTAGGGATCACATTTTTATTCCAGATTATTTTCCACCAATCCACTTTAGCTCTCTTCGGCCTGATAGACCGCCACACCTTCTGCACCAAAAAAAACGTGGCATCAGCTTCCCTTCCCAGAGTACTCTACCTTCAGCATCAATATCAAACCTGTACTGGAACCAGCTCCTAGAACTGACAGTTTCCTCCAAATCCATGAACCTGACTGAGAGAGAGGGATGCTCCAGATAGATCTCCCTTTCAGTCTATACTGTTGTATCCACGCTACCTAGAAACTCCCACTCTTCATTAGCATTAGCCACAACAGTCTTGCCACACACGCCATGTTCCAACTTCCCAAATCCTTCAAACCCATTCCACCCTCTCTTTTAGGAAGTGCAACTAATTCCCAAGCAACCTTCGCGCGGCCTGTGCCTTCCCCATGCCACAGAAAATCTGAACAGATCTTCTGAATAAGTTCCAACACTTTCTTAGGCAGTATAAAGATGTTCATCCAGAACTGTACTAAAGAGTACAGCACTGATGAAATTAATTGAAGTTTTCCTACATAAGTAAGCTTGCTGGCTTGCCAAGAACGCATTCTACTTGTCAACTTGTCAACTAAGACTTCACATTCCCTGGCAGATAATCTACCAGAGAATAGTGGGAGACCTAGATATCTCAGAGGCAACTTCCTTTCTGCAAAACCAGACCACTCAATAGCATTCTGCTTAAATAGATGCGCCTGCCCTCCAAAAAACACCTCACATTTCTGAGGATTACAGCTCAACCCCGATAACAAGTAGAATTCATTTAACAAATTTCTTATTTGCATCAGAGCAGCTGCTGACCCCTCAGTGAAAATCAATAGGTCGTCAGCAAAGCAAAGGTGTGTCAGACCTATTGATCGACACTGAGGATGGTAGGGGAATCTTTTAGAGCTGGCAGCAAAATCAAGCATACCTGAGAAAGGTTCAATGGCAATTGTGAAGAGGTAGGGAGAGAGAGGGTCTCCCTGCCTTACCTTTTTCTTAGCTTGAAAGAAACCAAATAACGAGCCATACAAGTTAATACTGAAGTATGCAGAACCAAGACAGACCTTTATCCACTCAATAAACTCTGCTGGGAATCCCATATGCATCATCACACAGATTAAGTACTCCCAGTTAACCGAGTCGAAAGCCTTATGAAGATAAATTTTTATGGCACAACGAGAAGCAATTTTAGTTTTATTATAGTTCTGCACCATCTCCTGCGCCATTAGGATGTTATCCAGAATACTCCTGCCCTTGACAAAAGCATATTGATTCCTACTAATCACTTCAGCGAGTGCTATCTGAATCCTATTTGCTAAAACCTTTGCAATGATTTTATACAGCACATTAATGCAGGCAATAGGTCTAAAAGCAGTCATCCTATCAGCATTCAGAGTTTTGGGGGGCAAGGGTAAGTGATGCAGTATTCATACCTCGAGGCAGAGCTCTAGTTCTGAAAAATTCCTTAACACCCTCACAGATATCATTACCAATTAAGTTCCAATGCTTTTGATAAAATCCTGTTGTCCACCCATCCGGGCCAGGAGCTTTCAGTGGATCCATAGCAAATAGTGCAGCTCGAATTTCTTCATTTGACACCTCAGCACATAGCACTGCTTTACTACTATCACTTATTTGCTTCCTTATATAAGAACCAATGACTGCCGAGTCTGGGTTAACCTCTGTATTCACCACACTATACAATTGCTTGTAAAACCCCAATGCCTCTTCTGCAATTTCCTCCTCATTTGTGATTTCAACTCCTGAGTTACTGACTAATCTTCTCAGTTGCTTGCGTGCCTACCTGATCTTTACTGCCCTGTGGAAAAAACCAGAGTTCATATCACCCAGTGTAAGCCAATTAATGCAAGATTTCTGCCTGTAGAAGCTTTCTTCTGCACTTCTTAACCTCTGCAACTCCTCAGTGAGAAGATGCATTCTTTCAAAAGTGTTTTCTGTAGGATCTTCTAAAGCTTGGGCCTGAGCCAGCCCCAGATTGGAACTAGCTAGCCTCCTTCACTTTGTCAGACATATTCATAAATTCCTGTCTATTTAATTTCTTGAGCTCAATCTTCAACATTTGGAATTTCCTTTTTATTGTCTGCAAGACTGGGCCATGTAGATGCTGGTTCCATACATTAGTCACTGTACTATCATAGGAAGGGTGCTGCATCCACATCTCAAAAAACCTGAAAGGTTTTGGGAAGGATTTCCTTGGTCGACAAGGTTTCACAAGCATCCCACAGTGGTCTGAAAACGAAGGATTAAGAAATTCATCCACACTATCTAGGAAACCATCAAGCCAATCTTCATTAACTAGAATTCAGTCAAGTTTCCTCGCAATAGGATTCCCACTCTGCTGATTAGTCCAGGTAAAAAATGAACCAGATGCCTGATGATCTATCAGCTCTGTGATCCAATCTCTAAACGCCATCATGCTCGGAGTAACAGGTACCATATTAGACGCCTCAAATGGATTGATAATGGCATTAAAATCACCACATACCACCCATGGGAAACCTCTGACTCTCCATTTTCTTAGTCTCGAATAGGTTGCTGCTCGCTCAGCCTCATCATTTGATGCATAGATCGCTGTAAAGAAGAACTGCACTTTAGGAGCTATTGACACTAGTGCATGGATGAAATTTGCATCTGTGCAAAGAATAGATCCCTTCACTTCCTTATCACATGCTATCCATACTCTCCCCAGCGGATGACAATCATAATTATCTTCAATTTGGAATCCGCTAAACTTCTCTTTAATTTTCCCAGCCGGAACAAATTACCAAGCTCCAATTAAGTTATTTTTTAATTTCTCATAAATCTTTAACACACCATATTTCTCATTAAAAAAATGACCCATTAAAAATCATATTTTTTTATTCTCTATGTCACTTGTTTATAATTTATATATTGGGAAGGTTGGAGTAGGTCCAAGGGAGCAAAAAATGGCACAATATTTAGCAGTAGAGGTGACAGATAGATTAAATTCATGGATCGGTTTAATGGATTCATGATCCAAGTGATATTTATAATGTAATTATAAAAAAATTAGATACCAAAATATAATATTTTCAATTATATTTTTCATACAAATAACTTTTTAGGTACCAAGATATAGTAAAATAAATATATATTTTTAAATTGTGATTTTCCAACAATTCATGAATCCAATACATCCAATTGGATTTGGATTCAATAGAATGATTTAAATTAATTGAGTTAGTTGAATTTTTTACTAAATGAAACAAATTGGTATTGGATTCAAATTGTCATCTCACATGAGATGGGAGCAGATATGCGGAGTGCTTAGACAAATCACTAATAAGTCTCTTTCAACATTTAAATCAACTTTAACAGATCTAATGATCTAATTAACGGAAGGGGTAAATTATTAATGATAAAGGAAAATTATGTCATTATGAAAAGTTTATTAGTTTTTTATTTTTTTTCGTTCCGTCCTTTCTGTTTTCATCTCCCACTTTTTTAATTTCCTCTACCACCATTTTTCCGCATGTAGCTTTTTTATTTGGGTTAATGACATTTTGTACCTCTCTATTATGGTAAATTAATAAACATACCATTCTATTAAATTTTTGCACAAACATTCCCTTCTAATATTAAAAAGTAATGAGTTACCATTCCATCCAATTATCTGCTAAGTGGCAGTTAAAGGAGTTGTCAAATGACTCAATTACCTCTCATTTACTCCTAATTTCTTCTAATTTCAATTTTAATTATTTATGTTCCAAATCAATTAATTAAATAAAATCAAACCCTAACTGAATCTTGAGTTTTCCCCGCAACTTCTCATCTCAACCTTGATACCATTGCGCTCCTAACTTCAACCCTCTTGCTCTTCTTCACGGCAGCAAAGAGATTCACCGCCACCAGAAAACCATCCATTCTCATGAACCTCCCCGCAAGGCCGACAACTCTGCCCCTTTTAGGTAAGGTCCACAACCTCATCTTCTCCTCCTCCAAACTCCACCACACCCTCCATCGATTAGCTCTGAAGCATAACCCACTCTTTCTGCTCAAGCTCGGCCAATTCTCCATCGGCGTAGTCTCTCCCGAACTCGCTAAGGAAATACTCAAGGACCACGACATCACCATCGATGAGAGAGCTCCCCTGTTTTTCCCGCCCTCACCTTCTACGACTGCTCCGACGTCCTATTCACCCCCTATGGGGACTATTGGTGCCAGGTCCGCAAGATCTTCCATATGGAGCTCCTGAGCCCGAACCAGGTCAATTCGTTCACCTCCATCTGGAGCCAAGAGGTCGCAAATTTGATCTAGTCGATTCACTTCAGTTTCATGGCGCGGGGGCAGGGGGTCATCGCCCGTCAATCTCACCAGGTTGATCTTCCATATGAGCTGCAATGTGACGTCGAGGGTGGCATTTGGCATCGGGCATGAAGAACCAGGAGTATTTGATGTTGACAATGGACATCATAAAGATGTCAGGCCTCAAGAAACAGGCGCGGCCGGGGAGTCGAGCGGCTAATTGCCAGGGTAGACGGACAATTTATGTCGAGTGGGTGTGAATTAGTTTAGGATTTTTATTATTTTAATTAATTGATTTGAGACATAAAATAATCAAAATAGAAATTATGAGGGTTTAGAAGTAAATGATTGGGCCAAGCCCACACGGATTTACTTTTTGGGTTTCTTCCCCAAAGGGCCTCGTACTGATTAGGCTAGGTGGACACTAATATACAAGGGTCCCTTCCCCTGTATTACCGATGTGGTACTTGGATTGCCCCATAACAATCCTCCCCTCAAGACAAGGACCAGAACTTCGTGTCCTCTCCTCAGCGATTATCTTGATCCACCAGACACCTTGTATCGATGGGCTTCTCGGTACAAAGATTTTCCCCAGAGGCGGAAATCTCTTTGATCTGCCAAACCAGATGTAGCCTAGACGCAGAACTCTCTTTGATCCGCCAAAAGACGCGAATCTAAAATCTCGAGGTCACCGAATAAGGGTCCACCAAACTGACGTCCACCGCCTCGAACCGAACCAGGCTCTGATACCACTTGTCATAACCGGAAAGCTCAATTAGTATGATATTTTCCGCTTTGGGCCAAGTCTGCACGATTTTACTTCTGGGTGTCCTCCACAAAAGGCCTCGTATTAATGAGCTTGGTGGACACTAATATACAAGGGTTCCTTCCCTTGTATTACCGATGTGGTACTTGGATTGTCCTCATAACAGTATGGTCTATCAAAAGTGCAAAGTTGAGATTGTTTCATATCCAGGATTGTTGCAACCTCTTCCTATTCTTGAACAGGCTTGGCAACACATCTCCATGGATTTTATAGAAGGGTTGCCATGTTCTCAAGGGCAATATGCAGTGTTGGTGGTAGTAGATCGTTTTTCAAAGTATGATCAATTTTTCAGATTATCTAAGCCCTACACATCAGTGACAATGGCACACGTATTCTTTAATGGTGTTTTTAGACTCCATGGGTTGCCTATAACTATTGTATCTGATAGAGATGCCATTTTCACCAGTACTTTCTGGTCTAAACTGTTCGAGTTACTAGGGGTGCGGCTTCACTATTCTACTGCTTACCATCCATAAACGGATGGCCAAACAAAAAGGTTGAATAAATGCTTAGAAGAATATCTCAGGGGAATGGTTCATCACAACCCTCAATAATGGTCTTCTTGGTTAACCTTGGCAGAATGTCGGTATAACACAAATTTCCACAACAGCCTTCAGAACTCTCCTTTTGAAGCTCTTTATGACTACTCACCTCCCACTTCTCTATTCAAAATCTCACGTCCACCTCAGTAGCTGTAGTGGCAGATCGACTTCAGCATCATCATAGATTGATTGGGATTCTGCCAGACAACTTAGCTAGAGCTCAGAATAAACAAAAACATATGGCAGATGCTCACAGAACAGAGCGAGATTTTCATGGAGACTAGGTGTTCTTAAAGTTAAGGCCCTATAGACAAACCACAGTGGCTAGTAGAGCAAACCAGAAGTTAGCTCCCAAGTTTTTTGGTTCATTTCCCATTGAAAAGAATATTGGTGATGTGGCGTATAGATTGAAATTACCATAGGGTTCAACCATTCACCCTGTATTTCATGTGTCTCTACTGAAGTAGGTCAGGGTGAGTAGTAATTTTCAGGTGTAGCCAACCTTGCCAACAGTTGATGCTCATGGTGGGCTGAAGTTGGCGCACCTGCTGTCATTTTTAGCTTGCATGATGGTGGCTAAGGACAACAAGCCTACTACCCAGATACTTGTCCAGTGGTCACATCAAGGTGAAGAAGGCGCGACTTGGGAGTTTTTGACAGAATCAAGCAACGTTTTCCAAGATTTCAAGCTTGAGGACAAGTATTTTATAAAGGGAATGAGAGTTGTAACGAATGTCCTTAATTGTAAATAAACGGAAGTATGGATGAGTATTAGATTAGAAATTTAGGGACTGATTGATAATTTGCCAGTCGTATAAGAATCACTCCCCCCAGGCTTGTAACGGCATTCTGAAATGGAATAACAGACTTTCACCATTTTCTCCCTCTCTATCTCTGTCTCTTTCACTCTTCTTTCTCGGTCTTACCTTCACTTTCTCTCCTCTTTACCGATAACTAAACAGACGCCAAGACATTTAATCTCTCCCAGGGGTGACATCTCACCGACAACAATAAAAGTTTTTGTTTTCTATATGTCCATGGACGCATGAAAGAGAAGGATTATGGATTTTATATTTTAGTTTATTAAACAAACTTATAATTATAAAATGACTAAATAACCCTTTTAAGTTACCACTAGTGTTGTGCCCGGCCTTTGGCCGGGTGTTAGAAACAAAGAAGTTCCACAAGGGAATTAGGGATTGAGAAGAGAAGAAATTAGGGATTTGAGAAGAATTGGGGAAGAACAAGAGATAGAGAGAATTGGGAATTTAGGGATTTTGATTGTAAATTGATTATTGACTAATTCTGCAGAATAGTGTTCTCTCCTCTTAAATACAAAACAGAAATAATGAAAATAACGAAACTGCCACTCCCCTCACCCAACCGGCCCAACCCGCCGGTTTCTAACATCCTCCCCCTCTTCAAGCCTGACCTTGTCCTCAAGGTCAAAGTGCGGAAACTTCTGCTGCAAGTCTCCGGTCTCCTCCCAAGTCGCGTCCTCCGGCTCCAAATGCTTCCAAAGCACTAAGCTTTCCTCCACCAATCGTCCCTTCTTCTTCACCCACCTGGTCTCAAGCACCTTCAGCGGCTCCAGCTCGAGATCACCATCCGCACTGACCGGTGGGGCCGTCGTCTCGACTCTGTCTGCTGCTCCCCTGTAACGTTTCAACAATGAAACATGGAAGGTGGGATGAATGCGGGACTCCGCCGGCAGCTGCAGACGATAGGCCACTGGGTTGACCTTCTGCAGAATCTCGTAGGGCCCGAAGTAACGAGCAGCCAGCTTCTGATAGGCGCGCCGGAAGACTGATGCCTGTCGATAGGGATGTAGACGCAGTAGCACCCGGTCACCCACCTCGAACTCTTCCTCCCGCCTACCCGCATCCTCCAACTGCTTCATCCTGTTATTGGCTGCCGCCAACGTACTCCGCAGCTGCTCGAGCGCCTCATCCCTCGCCCCCAACCACCTGTCCACCGCATCCACCGAACTGTCACCCACCCTGTATCGTACCAGAGACGGCGGGGCTCGCCCGTATAGAGCCTCAAAGGGTGACATCCGAATAGCCCTGTGGTAGGTGGTGTTATACCATAACTCAGCCCATGGGATCATGGTCAACCAGCTCTTGGGTTGCTGGTGGGCAAAACACCTGAGATAGTGCTCCAGATGTTTATTCACGATCTCCGTCTGGCCATCCGTCTGCGGGTGATAGGCCGAGCTCATCTTCAGTGCCGTCTTAGCCATAGCAAAGACCTCCTTCCAGAAGTGACTCAAGAAGACTGAATCCCGGTCACTCACAATAGATCGAGGGAACCCGTGATGCCGCACCACTCCCGATACAAACTGCTCAGCCACTGCCTTTGCCGTGTACGGGTGGGCCAAGGGCATGAAGTGAGCATACTTCGTCAGACGGTCCACCACCACGAACAACACAGTCTTGCCGCCTGAGGGAGGAAGTCCCACTATAAAATCCATGCTGATGTCTTCCCAAACCCGCTCCGGCACCGGTAGTGGCTGCAACAACCCTGCTGGTCTGAGATGAGATAACTTCACCCTCTGACAGGTGTCACAGGATGCCACGTAGCTCTTCACGTCGTCTGCCATGCGGGGCCAATAGAAATGAGCCCGAATCCGCCGTAGGGTCCGCTCCACGCCCGAATGACCCCCCATCGGCGAGTCATGAAACTCCATCAGCACTGTAGTGACCAGGTTTGACCCCGGCGGAAGGACCACCCGACCCTTGAAAAGTACTAGCCCTTGTCTGAACTGGTAGCGACCCGGCTCGTCGCTCACAGCAATGTCCCGGCAACTCTGCAGATACGAACTGGTCTCCAGAGAGGTACGGAGCTCATCCCAAAACTCCGGCACGGGCCCGGTCACCGCCGTGAGAACCTCTCCACCCGGCCTCCTGGATAGGCCGTCCGCCACCACATTGGTGGGTCCCGGTCTGTAGTGGATCTCGTAGTCGTACCCCAGCAACTTCGAAATCCACTTGTGCTAGTCTGGTGTCGACACCCTCTGTTCCAGGAGATGCTTCAAACTCTGATGATCTGTATAGATGTGAAACTTCTGGCCCAACAAATACGGTCTCCAGGTCTGTACTGCTGTTATGATAGCCTGCATCTCCTTCTGATATGTTGACCAGGCCTATTTCGAGGGCGGGAGAGTCTTGCTCATGAAAGCAATGGGATGGCGATCCTGAGACAACACTGCCCCGATACCGCGACCAGAAGCGTCGGCCTCAATCACGAACGTCTTCGAGAAATCCGGCATGGCCAGGGTGGGGGTCGACGACATCGCCTGCTTCAGCTTCTGGAACGCCTCCTCGGCCTGCGGTGACCAACCTAAACCCCCTTTCTTCAGCAGGTCCGTCAGAGGTCTCGCAATCATACTGTACCCCTGCACAAACTTCCGGTAATACCCGGTCAGCCCCAGGAAGCCACGCAACTCGGTCACATTGGTGGGCACCGGCCAGTCCACCATGGCTTGGATCTTGGTCTGGTCCACCTGTACTCCCTGAGGCGTCATCATATGACCCAGATAATCCACCTTCTGCACCCCAAACGCACACTTGGAGGCCTTGACATAATACTGATGCCTCCGCAGAATCTCAAACACCTCCTGCAAATGTCTCAAATGGTCCTCCCAAGTAGGACTATATACCAGTATATCATCAAAGAATACCAAGACATACCGTCTCAGGAGCGGCCTAAAAATGTAGTTCATGGCAGCCTGGAATGTCGAAGGAGCATTGCACAGCCCAAATGGCATGACCAAATACTCATAGTGGCCATTATGAGTGCGAAAGGCCGTCTTGGGCACATCCTCCTCCTGCATCCTGATCTGGTGGTAACCGGCTCTCAAGTCGAGCTTAGTGAAATAGCTCGACCCATGTAGTTCATCTAGCATGTCATCCACTGTCGGGATCGGAAACCGATCTTTCACGGTCGCCTTGTTGAGAGCCCGGTAGTCTGTGCAGAATCTCCATGTCCCATCCTTCTTCTTAACCAGCAGTACCGGCGAGGAAAAAGGACTGGTACTGGGCCGAATCAGCCCGGTAGCGAGCATCTCCTCCACCTGTTTCTCGATCTCCCCCTTCTGCGAGTGCCCATAACGGTATGGCCTCACATTCACCGCTTCCACACCTTCCTTCAAGCAAATCTGATGATCAACCTGACGGTGGGGCGGGAGCGTGGTTGGCGCCCTGAATAGCTCGGGGTACCGATCCAACAGCTCCTGTATCTCCCCATCAATCTCCGCCTTCCCTGCTGCGGAAAGAGGCCAGGATAGGACAGTGAGCTCGGTGTCCCCCCCTTCACGCACTCCTCCATCTCCACCGGCCCAATGGCCGTGGTCAGGCCTCTCAACCTCCACTCCTTGTCCCTCCACTTGAAGCACATCGTCAGACTCCTCCAATCACTGGTGATCGGCCCCAAGCTCTGCAGCCAGGGTATACCAAGGATGATATCGAACCCTCGCAGAGGCAGTACATACAAGTCGGTGGTGATCTCGAGGCCTTGGATCTCCATAGTCAGCTCCCTGTACACCTCGACGCACCGCATCGGCGCGCCATTAGCCACTCTTACCACCACTGGTCTCGTCGGCCTCGCTGCCACCTGTAAGGTCTTAGCAAAGTCCTCCCCGATAAAATTCAGCGAGGCCCCACTGTCAACGAGGACGAGACCCTGCTGCCCGGCCACCTTTGCTCGAAACCTCAGGGTTCCGGGTGACGACATCCCAGCTACAGAGTGTAGGGAAATCGCCGCCCCTTCCTCGGCCTCGCTCTCCTCCGCGGTCCGCGCGCTTCCCGGAGCTTCCCCGCCAGCCCCGTCGATCAGGCTCCGCCCCGCGCCGCCCTCCGCGCCACGGCCGACCTGCCCGAACGCCGCCGCCTCCTTCTTCCAATAGCTCGCAATCTGCCACAGCCTCTCCTGCTTCTGAGCCCATGACAGGTCTGATCTTTCCATCGCTGATTCTCTGGTTTTGAAGTTGTCCCTGATGGAGTTTGGAAGAACTCACAGATCGGAACGGGGCTCTGATACCAGATGTTAGAAACAAAGAAGTTCCACAAGGGAATTAGGGATTGAGAAGAGAAGAAATTAGGGATTTGAGAAGAATTGGGGAAGAACAAGAGATAGAGAAAATTGGGAATTTAGGGATTTTGATTGTAAATTGATTATTGACTAATTCTGCAGAATAGTGTTCTCTCCTCTTAAATACAAAACAGAAATAATGAAAATAACGAAACTGCCACTCCCCTCACCCAACCGGCCCAACCCGCCGGTTTCTAACACCGGGGTAACATTTATAATGTTTTATCGCCTATGATTTTTGTGACATGTTTGGGTAACATTTATAATGTTTTATGCCTATAAATTTTGTGACATGTTTGATTTCACTTTCATTGCCACAGAATTTGTAGTGATAGTAGATTCTGACCCTATTCATGCGATCTATCTACTCCGACTTCTTTGGAGTGGGAATTATCATACCACAATAGCATGGGGCAGGACATTTGTACGACTTTCGCTATGCCTCATCCTGTTCCGTCATGTTTTCGACCTGTTTTTATCATTGTTTGCAACATCAATGAGAAACAAAGTTTTGGAATTCCCTTCCTAAAAAAAATCGTAATTCCCTTTGAAGCTTGATGCGGCCACGGCTTTAATTGGTGGTGTCGTTTTGGCACATAAGTTAGCATTGCTATTGCGATTTGCGAATGCTAATAGCAAGTTTTATTTCTGCAACTTTCATACTGGTTGTAGTATGCACCATAATACCATTTCGAAGAGTTTGGTTTCAGAACCTTGTTATGTTAGCGAATCCATGTTCTCAGCCTAATAACAGCAGATAAATACAAAATCCAACTCTGACATTATGCAGAAAACACGCAACCATGACACGGAAAGCCCACGTAGCAAGTGAGAGTTAAGAACATTCTAAAACATATTTCTCGGATTCCACTGAACCTCCAATAGACCATAGTTTGTAGAATGGTAATCACTCTAGGTGTAAAGAGTCTGGCGGAAAAAATCAAGATGTCGCCTGAACTACTCTTGCCTGAGCAGAGGCTATATACTACTGCTTCCTAATGATAATTGCAAATGGCTAATAATAAAATTCTGCTACTGGGCTTCTTCAAATATCTAAGAAGTGAGATTGGTTTTCCTGGAAAGCTAGCTTAAGCATTTTTCTTCCAACTGCTGCGTATTTCAGGTTCCATATATTGATGCAATGACAACATAATTTGAATAGAGTTGTTGAAAAAACTTATGTAGAGCAGGCCATTTTATGAGATCCTAATGCATCTACAATCAATTGATTGGGTCTGATATGATGCTGGCGATTAAAAGGAGAAGATTAGAAGGTTATATATATACACAACTACTCAGCCAGCTTGCTCTTTGACAGACGGTATATATGGAAAATTACATCCTATTAAGTGAGAAACATTCTTTAAAATATGAAAGGTGGGTACACTTTATTGGCAAAACTGCTTTTTACTGTTTCATTTTTTTGTCGTTTAATGGAAAACGGTTCTTCAACTTATCACATCAAGTCCCTACCAAGTTGCCGTCTCCGAAGTCCGAACCGACGACGCCTGACCTTCGAGAATCCGCCGGCCATGCTTCCAGTACAGCTATCCCCAGCTGGTCCCATCTAGCGTATGGCCATTGCCCAGAAACCTCAAAAGATTTTGAACCCAAAATGCCATGCTTTCCGTATTCCCCGTCCCCTCATGCTCTTACCCCAAATTCCGCGATTGTGTATCGCCGCTTCAATCTCCTCCTGTCCCCTCATCTCTCCGATCTACTCCTCGATGTGACGAGCTCTGCACACCTACTCCAGCACGCCACCTCTTTTCAAGATTGCCACGGGAAGACTCATATTCTCTCCATCGATCTCCACACGCCACAGCCCATGCTTTCTGTAGTCCTCGCCTTATTCCTCTGTTTTAGGAGAGCCTTCTCTTCTCTGGTGAAACTCGACCACCACCAGCAGATGAAATTCCATTACACACCATCGACTATTTCCAGACTCATACTCTCTGTATCCAGTCTGAAGAATCATTGCCGCCATAGAGAGAGGACCGAGAAGACTGCTTTAATGCCGAATGAGGTCGTCGGGATCGACTGAAGGAATATGGGAAGCGAAGATTCGATTGGGATGAGGGGAAGGAGAGCAGGCGACGTTTTGGTTCGAAGTGTTGGGGTCAAGATGGGATTGAAGGAGCCGAGCGTGGATTTGTTAGGGGTTAGTTCCCCACTTTTGCCTCTTCTTCCTTCTACTCTTCTATTTTCTTTCTTTTTACTTAATCCCATGACCAAACGAATTTCCTATGGGCAAGGTCGAGAAGGCAGTGGAGGTGCCTGTGCTGTGGACAACGAGTAGTGGAAGAAGGTAGGTGTGCAGATGAGGCAAGGAGAAGAATGACGGGTTAGTTCTCAGCTTTCTTTCTTTCTTCTCTCATGTGTGCTCCAGAATTTTGATACTGGGTTTGAATCTGATAACTAAACACCCATTTTTTCTATTAAAATGGTGGCTACTTTATTCTGACAACAAATTGGCTTTCTGCAGGTTGGCTAAGAGTTTTTCTTTTGTGAAGTTTGCACGCAAAAAGACGTTGAAGATGTATGATTTGAGCATTCTAAAACAGCCCCGCCGGAGTTCATGACAGTGGGGAAGAAGACTGCTGCAGGGAGTGTGGATTTCATGCAGGTTTTGTGTTGGACCGATCAGCATTTCTTTAGGACTTCAGAGAGTGCTTAGGAGGTCTGCAAGATGCTCGAAGAGACTCAGTCCATTTCCTACTCTGGTATGGCTCAGCCTCTCCATTTTCTGTTTTTAAATTGATAGAATGTAGTGGTTTCCAGCAACCAAGCAGTAGGAGCGAAGTGGTGCCTCGCCAGGATAACTCAAATCTTTACACCGAACTAAAAACCACTTGCACTGGCCTGTGTCTGGCACTTGGAGATGCTACACCAGTTTATGTCTGCGTCTGGTCCATTCTTGGATCTAATCACAATATTCATCTTCACTTGCGTGCTCTGGCAGTTAGTTTCTTTGTTTTTGGTCTCCAGATAATCATCCAATCTGGGTATTTGCTTTCTTCAATTTAACATTGCTCCTTATCAATCCTTTCAGTCAAAATTCTTGAGGTCTGAATTTTAGCTGGGATACTCAATCGAAGCTTACTGCTCAAGATCAGAGCAACAGGTATGACAACACTATGAGAGTGGAACAGTTTTAAGCTTGAGTATGTATTTTAAGCTAGCACTTTAAAATCAGCTAACCTAAGCTAGCTACTACTGCTAATCCTTGCTTTGTCTCTCTTTCTGGATTCCATGCCAACTTTGAATTTGCCTGCATATGGTATGGTCTTAGATACATATATGGACTGTTGAAGAAGAGCATTGCCAAGGAGGGACAACCTGATTCCATGCAGGTGCAGTCACTCGAATAAACAGTTCAAACTTTGGCACTGCCATCAATACATTGTTTGACCGGTTATTTTGTCATTTGTGAAGAAATTCTGTCACCGAATACAAGAAGTCCTTCACCCATAGAAAGCATTACAAGTTCTAAGAATCATACATTCTGCCTTCTGCGTACTTGACAATCAATCGGTTATACTATAGTCATGTGTTGTTGACTCGGGATTGTGTGTGTATACCCTCTGTGTTTGCTTAACTTACAACCTGGCATATTGAATTTTATTTATGTCCCATTTTTGTCTTACAAGGTGTTGTCGTTTTTTGTTTTTGTTTTTGGGAACACTTAATACGTTGGTCTTAAGAGGATGGTGTTGTACTGTAGGAAACGATATGCTTCTTTGGAACATTAATCAAGACTTTGTACACTACTTGATATCTTGGAATTCTGTGGGTTGTTTGTGTGATTCAAATGGAAGGTTCAGTGAAGCTCTGGAAAGTTTAGTTAATAAGTTGGGAGAGGATTTTGTAGCTGATAATGTAACAATAGCTGGTTATCTTTTTTTCTGTATCAAGTTGTGTTTGAGTAAAGGCGAGACTTTTAGGTTCTGGATACAACCTCTTTGTGGCAGTATGATGGTTGGATTTCTTTCTGATCAGACCCTGTGCACATTTGAGTCTTACATTACATGCAATGTCAGAAGTAGCCTTCTTACTAACGGTGTTACAGCTTTCATATCATACAATTTCAACAGTTAAAGTAGAAGCACAGGTTCAGACATTCATTTCGTTACTGTTGGAGATAGGAAAGAGAGCTTTAGATTTTCCTATCTTAATTGGTAGTTTTCCTTTTTTACTAGACCAGATAGTGGTTTCTTGCTTGCTTCGAAGTTCTGGTATTGCCTTCTCCCATCACTGATTCTGCTACTGATTCTGTTTTTCCCGTTATGAATGAAATGCAAAAGAGAAAAAGTAGAAGGAAAGATGAATAGTTTTGGCGGTCTGGGGTATGGAACTGAAAGTTGGGATGGGGTTTTGATGTGGGTATATTTTCTATTATAGAATGTATGCATGCTTTGAAAGATAAAGTGCTAGCTGATGAATTACTTGAAATCTATAAAATGACCCACAATTTCTCCATTAGCCAATCTATCTTTTATGTCGAATATTGGTTGATCATTGTGTGTATTAGTTATTACTTTGCCCCCCCTGTAGCAAGGTATTTCTTGGGCATAGCTTCAGTATAGAATTTCAAAAGCTAAGGAAGCGTTTACATGCAGTTTAAGTTGACTCTGTAGATGTATGTTTAGTAGAGAATCGTTATAATTGTAAGTTGTCTTGCATAATAAGAATGTCTACGTTTTTAAACAAAAAATACGGTAGTTGATTCCTATATATAATTTATAACTAATTTCGTTACTTCTGCATTGCTTTTAAGTATTACTAAATGCTACTAAATCTCCCGCGGCGTAGCCGTGGGTACTGATACTAGTGCACAATATGATAGTTGAGTAATTGAATTATGAGCAACTTGGGATTCATTGGCAAAAGGAAGGGAAAGGAAGTATGTGAATAACTAACAACGTAGAAGAGATTGGCGATGAAGTAAACTTATTATATGGTAGATCAATTCAAAGAGGAGAGCATAACTTACCATGGGGAACCCTCAATGAGATTGGGGAGGGAATATCTCTACTGGAATTGATACCGTAGAACCAATTCTTTGGTTGCTTTGGCAACACTAACTGTTGATGCCAATCTCCGAGGAGCCTGCTTCAATGTATGTTGAGGTCCGGTGAGCGTCGATCTTTCTCCTGGTCAACGTCCGCCACCGCCAGCCTCTAAGATAGACACCTGCAAAATAGGAACCCGCCGGCGGTGGTCGGCGGGGACCTTCTCCGAAGCTCAAGTCAGTATTGAGAGGAGAGTAACCGGGAGCGGCGTATTAAGCCGGCTCTTGAGAGAGATCTAGAAGTTCAACTCCAAAATGAACTGTCGAGAAAACATAAATGAGCATCCTATTTATAAGTGCCTCATGCTTATGGCGTAGGTGGCGTACCTTTTATTTAAGTGTTAATTGAGGTTACTTACCTTGTACACATGTCATGAAGTGGTAATTGGAGGAATTATTTTTGCCCATGTATCAGAAGGTGTGATGGCAATTGCCAAATGCGTGGCCAACATTGAGGTGGCAATTGTGCTTAAAATCTACCCATATGTCCACCTTGCCTTTCATACGTGGAAGCATGGGAAAGTGATATGTTAGGTGGCTTCCCTGGACTTAACAGAGAGTTAAATAACAAATTAATTAATTGATCAATTGATGGAGAAGAAATACATTTGTCTTTCAACCATTACTCCACGTGTAGTTGAATGGGGTAAATAGGGTAGTGAGTGGCTAGAGGTAAACCTTTTAGCTAGCACACCACTTAAACACCCAATTCATGGAAATATATTGCCATGCCACCATTGTAGCCACGTGGGGGAAATTGTGGTGGTTTTATTTGCATCCTTATTACTCATTTGTATGAGATGATAGGTGGTGAAATAGAGGGTCCATCAATTGCCCCCTTACCAATAGAAAAATTAAGATTGAAATTAAAGTTTTCTATTGGTAACACATCTCTAAGTGAGTGATTTAAATTACGACATGCATAGCCAACACAAATTGGGCAAGCAATTGTTGGAGAGCCAAGTCAATCATGGTAGAAGGAACGCACCATCATGGCGAGCGATCATGGAAAGCCGTGTCGATTATGACAGGCAGGCCGCACCAGTCGTGATGGGCACCATGAAGAATCGTGCCAACCTTGGTAGGCGACCCCAACCAATCATTGCAGGCTACCAGTGCCAATTGATGTGGCCTTATTGTGTGTTTAGTGTTGTCCGTGTATGAGTGATAAGGACAATAGTTTGGGTTATGCAGTATCATAGGAGATTTTTTATATCAAGTATAAATGAGAGTTTAGGAGGGATTACCAGATAGTTTTTGAGTTTACAAAAACTTTCTCATACTTGAATTTTCTCGATTGGAGCATGAGAAAGGAAGAGGTTCCCCTGCCAGATTGGTGATGATGATGAAAAAGTTGTCCCGTCATGATTCGGAAGAGATGGGTGGCAGAGTGATGTGGTGAAAAAGTGGATATTTTTTTCACAATAGCAATTCGCGGGGAATTGAACCCTTGACCTCATTGATGGAGTTGTGCCTACTTAAAAAGTAGACAACATGGGCTTCCTCGGTAAAACGTAGATCTTACGAGAGGCGGACCTAAACCGGTGCCCCCACGACCTCGTTGTCAATTCCACGACATCAGGTTTCTCCACCATCTCTCATAGCGGATTTGACGTTGACAATGATAATTTGTAAAAAATTTCACCGGGCTCCATAGCAAGCGCAAATTGTTGATGGAACTTTTCATCAAGGCCCACTATAGGTGCCAATTGTTGATGTCAAGGCGCCATTCCATGAGAGGACTTGAGGATCTTATGATTTCGCGGCAAATCGACGGAGAAACTAGTGGGGTTGAGGGCCCGCAGTTCCACACCAAAGATCGACACAACTCAATCTTGGTCGAGAGATCCTCGATTCTTGGAGATAGATAGCAAATTGATTGATGTTTGGAGTTGTATCTTGACGAATCCCTTCTTCGGGTTGCATATCATGCATGCCCATCTTGTTAAGATTCTCGATTCTTCAAGATAGCAAGTTGATCGATGTTTGGAGTTGCATCTTGACGAATACCATCTTCGGTTTGCATATCCTGCATGTCCATCTCGTTGGGATCCTCGATTATTGGAGATAGAACTTTGATTGATGTTTAGAGTTGCATCTTGACGAATCCCAGCTTCGGGTTGCTGATCCTCTGTATCCACCTCGTCTTGCTGGATTGACGGTTTGTTGGTATTAATCTCATCGGGCCCCACGGTGGGCGCCAATTGTTGATGCCAAGCTCCGAGGAGCCTGCTTCAATGTATGTTGAGGTCCGGTGAGCGTTGATCTTCCTCCTGGCCAACGTCCGCCACCGCCAGCCTCCGAGATGGACACCTGCAAAAGAGGAACCCGCCGGCGGTGGTCGGCAGGGACCTTCTCCAAAGCTCAAGTCAGTATTGAGAGGAGAGTAACCGGGAGCGGCGTATTAAGCCGGCTCTTGAGAGAGATCTAGAAGTTCAACTCCAAAATAAACTGTCGAGAAAACATAAATGAGCATCCTATTTATAAGTGCCTCATGCTTCTGGCGTAGGT